GAGGCACTGGGAATAGATAGACTATGCCTTAAATCCTCCACCAATAAAGATAAGTGCGGGAAGGCCTAAGAAAAATAGAAGAAAGGAGGCACATGAGAGATTTGAAAAGAAAGGTAAGTTAAGTAAACACGGAGTACAAATGACTTGTAGTAAATGCAAAGGAAATGGTCACAATAAAAGAAGGTGCCCTCAAAAGGGAAATGAATCCCACAGTGAATCTCAAAACACAACTGTAAGTTAGTGATTGTCATTTGTTGTTATAAGTTATAATTTTATGGTGTTTATATATTAGCTATAAGTCAAGTACTTCGTATGAGAGTATTTACTGTGTTTGTGTGACTTATAAGGGTGACTTATACGTATATAAGTTCACTGTGAGCTCATAAGTTTGTGTTTATGCTGTGAGAGTGTTCTTGGTATGAGCATAAGTATGTTTTAGTGTATAGTAGTTACTGGGTAGAATGAGTTATATAAAACTAATGAGTAAGTATGTATGTATACTTATTTATGAGTAGTTATATATTACTAGTTACTGAGTAGTATGACTTATATTATTAGTGTATACTAGTTTCTGAGTAGTATGAGTTATATATTACTAATGAGTAAGTATGTTTTAGTGTATACTAGTTACTGAGTAGTATGAGGTATATTATTAGTGTATACTAGTTACTGAGAAGTATGAGTTATATTATTACCAATGAGCACGTATGTATACTTATAAGTCTACTTTAGTGTATACTAGTTACTGAGTAGTAGAGTTATATATTACTAATGAGTTAGTCAGTATACTTATTTGTGTTTATATCTTAGGCAAAACCAAGAGGAAGACCAAGGAAGGATGGTGGACCGCCAAGAAAAGAAACTCAAACTCCGTGTGGTGATCCTACCCAACCTAAAAGGCCAAGAGGAAGGCCACTAAAGAATGCCTCTTCTAGTGCTTCAAGACAAACAATACCCAATGGGTGGGGAGTTTACTATGGTGATGATGCAAGAGTCTACCTAAATGTATGTTGTACACACTTTTAATGAATTACAATAACTGTATGAAATGAACTAATCAACTGTTGCTCCTAATTTTTTCAGCCAGGGCAAGGAGGTAGTAATGTGATGTCCCAAACCTCTTCTGCTCCAACAACTTCTCAACCATCTCAGACATGATGTCCACAAGTGTGATTTTGATGGCACAAGATGGAATTTTTGCTCTATGAAGACAAGATGTAGTTATGGTCCTTTTTGTTTAAGCTAAGGTCCTTTTTGAAAGATTAATGGAACCTGTAATGCTCATTTTTTGGTGTGATTATAAAGGCCAATGTACATGTTGTTTTTGCTTATGATATAGTTATGTGCACCTGTGTAAAGCACATTTTTGTGGGCCACACAAAAGGCCATGTTTTGCTTTTTGTTTTGCTATGTAAAAACCTTAACAATTATGTAATTGAAATATATGGGAGATGTCCCTTACCTTCCTTGTTATACACTTACTCCTCTTTATACAAGCTACTCACTGGTGTTTACCATTGGGCTGATTTAACATGTAGTGTTAGGGAGGGTAGAGGCCCTTGAAAGAATTAATATGGTTCTGGCAGATTCATTGCCATCTGTGAGGATATTTATTTTGTGATAATAGCATTCATTACTTTGAATCAGTGAATGTATTCTATCAGGATATTTATTCTGTCACTTGTGGATGTGGTAGATTCATTGCTGAAGATAATAACATTCATTTGTTTCTTAGTTTTCTATTTTTTTTGGATCAGTGAAATGCTTCCTTCCTGCAAATATATTAGTTTGAAGTTGGCTGGAAAGTTTCAGAATTGAGATAGTAGTAGACTAGTACCTATACGTGTAAATATTCAGCTAATCTTTAAAGTTTATTGGAATTCTTTTTTTTTTTTAAATGGTATGAGATATAATAAGGCTGTCCAGAAGGTATTCATTTCCTAGGTTTTAATGCAAGAATGGTATGAGATATGATAAGCTGGTTGTGTAGAAGTTAATCATTTTCTGGGTTTTATGGCAAGAATGGTATGATATTTCTATTTCCAACTTAAAAACAAAAGTTGATATGCATTCATTTGTATATGACACTATTTAAAAACCAAAGCAATAAACAATAACTTGAGCTCCTGAAACTCAAATTCTGCCATTATCATTGCAACCCAGAACTTCCAACACAGAACTTAGTTTTCATTCTTTAGTGCATTCATTCATTGTTATTCTTAGTTTTCTTTTCACTTTCACTCTTTAATAGCTTCAGAACTTCCAACTCAAATCTTGCCATTATCATTCCAACACAGAACTTCCAAGGTGGAAATATGGGATATATGCAGGCTGGGCTCAAACTCTTTTTTCATTTCAGAACTTCCAACATAGAAAGCTCTGTTACCAATCTTTTTTCAAAATGAAATGCATTCTAATAAATAGAAGAACACAATGCTAAACTACTAAAAAATACATATCAGTAGAAATACATTTCATATTACTAATATTACTACGTTTGGTTGTACATATCATGAGAATGAGAGGTAATTCAACAAGACACATTCTAGCCACTACACATTCTAACCATAGCTTATATTTTTCTCACAACAATTGAGGCAATTGATACAATGACAAAAATTAAAACAAACCCAACTATTACAAATCTAGCCATTATTCTTTCAATCTCTGCTTTTGATACATGAGTGCCTTTCATGTTCTCCAACTCAGCTTCCACCATCAACAATTTCTTCTTAACATTTTTGTTCTTCTCTTTTAGTTTTTCCACTTCCACCTGAAGCATTTCTTTCTCTTCTTGCCTTTTCGGAAACATATAACTCGAGCAGTCATCAGCTAATCTTCTCGTTTCCATTTCTCTACCAACTGTGACAGTCCCCCTTTCACTTTCAGATTGCAATTGCCTACATTCCTCAATAAGTTGATCATTTTTCCTCTTCAGCCAATTAATTACTTCTGTCGCCCTAGAACCATATTCTTCTTTGTCAAACCACTCAAAGTATCTACAATCATTGACCTATATACAATATAAAATCAAACATAAAAAACAATGAAAATGCTTTTCCAAATCTTAATTCCTGAAAATTAAACCGTTATTGATTCATACCTTCCACTGAGAGCATCTGTGAAACCGTCGACCATGGTTCTTTCCTTCCTTTGATGTAATTTGAAGATTAGCAGGGATATTGTGATAACAATACTTTACATTTCCACTTGAATTCCCTAATCCTTCTTTTCCTAACGACGAGCTTCCGCTGACAGACATGCCTCTTCGTGCTGAGTAATGGTCGTTCATCTTCTTTACGCCCGCTGCCTCGCTGGTTCTTTCATGCCATGGCCCAGAAACTAGGTTTTTTTCTATATTGTGAGAGACGAATAGAGTAAAGCAGATGCATCGATGTTGAAAGGAAGATGCATCAGGGATATAATCCAACGTGGATGTGTATTTGCCAGGTAGATATTGCAGAATGTAAGCTAAAATTCAAAATAAATACTTTTAATTAGGGTAGGGTAGCTGTTTCTCAGGTTACTTAAAGGAGGGGGTATTTAATTAACACATACAAGTTCAGGGTAGAGATATCACACATACCTAAAGTTCAGGGTAATTTAATTATTTTCTCCTATTATTGCTATGAAAGATCAAGTGGCAGCCGTTTCTATGTTTGATCGTAGCTTATGGACTAATAATCCGCCTTTATGTATTTTCGATGCTCTCCATCATGATTTAATTAATAGTTAACTGCATTGGCTTCAAAAAGACATTAGGATAAAATAAAAAAATTTGATAGATTAAATAAGTACATAAAATGACACTATATATATAGTATCCTCCGTTCTTTAATTCTTGCCACGTTTGGCAACGCACAACTTTGACAGTGATTATATTTAATTCAATATTAATAAACATTATAAAAAATTGATAATTTGGAAATACAAATCAATACAAATATAATAACTTTTTATACATAATTATTTGACTATATATATTAGTAGAAAACCATTGTCAAAGTAAGGTGTGCGAATAGTGCAAAAAACTTAATGTTGCAACTATTAAAGAATAGAGGAAATATATATTTTCATCGTAATAAAAAAAAGTTGACTTTGCAAACCATTTAAGGAACAAGAAAATATTATATTCAGCAAAGTATAAAACTCACAATTTTTTCAATAATCTCTACTTTACTCGTACATAGGATGTTTTCTTTTGGACTGCTTTCAGTCCCAGACCAGACCAAACCAGACCAGATCAGACCAGACCAAACCAGACTTCTGTAGTTATAAAATACACAGAGACAGACGTTTACCAGACCATACTAGACCAGACCAGACCAGACGAGATCAGACCAGACCAGAACAGACCAGCAAATTTTAGTCTAAAAGAAAACATCCATACTCCCTCCGTTCTCTAATATTTGTCCATTTTTCCATTTGGATTGTTTTCTAATATTTGTCTCTCTTTCCATTTTTGGAAAGTTTTTCAATAAATATACTCATTTACCCTCATTTTCTTTCCTACTTTTTCATTCTCTTTCCTACTTTTTCATTTAAACACAAGGTAGATTTTATGGTACCCATAAGGTAACATACCTTTGTCCACATGGACCAATGAGAATGTAGCAGTTGAATTATTTAAATCTAAATTAAAAATGATAAAGTGATGTGGTCCAATCAAATGGGTGATAGGTACGGTACCTCATTTTTTAGAAAGATACCAAAGTTGTCAGCTAAACACAATTCACTACACCTTTTATATTACGCCTATCATTTTACTCTTAAAACTTGTGTCAAACTCTATAGGGCCAACTAATGAAGAACCGAGGGAGTATATTAATCTAATTTTAATGGTCTGTCATTATTACTCCTTATTTGTGTAGATAACTTTTGACGTCGTTAAAAAAAATCTTTTGACCGCGGAAGTACAATCTTCTCCTCCTAAAATAAGGATTTCTATTATTATGTTTGGAAGGTTATCATATTTGGAGAACTTCTAAAACTCTACTTTGCTGCCTTTTATATACACGGACTCGCTCTTAATACACGGACTCCCTCTTATCAATCCCCTGTTTATTGTAAGTCATGAATGATCAAATAATTGCAGAAATTCTTGTCCGTTTGCCGCCGAAATCTGTTTACAGATTCCGGGCCGTATCAAAATCATGGAACAAGTTGATTTTGCAGCCCTATTTCATCAAAAAATACGACAGCCGGCAACGGCGGCCGGACGGTGTGGGCTTGTTATCCTTATTCGGAGAGTTTTATTGCCCCTGCAATTTCTCCCATTCCAAGAACCGGAAGAAATCGGTTGAATACCATTCTCTAGATCTTGAAGTCAGCGGCATGTTTCTAGAACCAGTCAAGTTCATAAATAGCTCTAACGGTTTGATTCTTTGCAGCCAAGGTGGTTGGTATGAGGAGGGGTACCTCGTTCTCAACCCTGTTACAAAAAGGTCGGTGTCGTTGCCCCCGCTGCCGCCGTCGTCCTCGCCTGCACTACATTCATCCATCGGGTTGATGTGCATAGAAAACAAAAGCCAACTGTCAGCCAAGTACATCGTCGTCCAGACTGGTTATCATGTTCTCAGCGGAAGCGAAAAGGGTACTTTGATGACCGTCACTTACTCTTCCGAGACAGGGGTCTGGGTGGAAGCAAAACTGCGTGTGATCACGGACGTTGCCGACGCCGCCGAAGTCGCAAAAGAAGACATCTACCTTTCTATGTTCCGAGTTCCTCCTTTGGTGATGAATGGTGTTTTCCACTGGTACGATTACTGGACCAACATAGGCACATTAACACTAGCACTTTACCGCCCCGACAGTGAAGCCGCGGTCTTAGATTTCCGGAGCTACGATGGATTTGGAAATAATAATCCCCTCTACGGCTCCAGCGCTCTTACGAGATCATCCATTGATAATGGTGACGTTTTATGGTTTGCCCTCGTTATCTCCGAAACCATGAGAGTTTTCATGCTCCCAAAAGGCAACGAACAGTGGGTGTTAGTGCATACTATCAGTGTTGAATCGCTCTGGCAGAATGACACAGCCTTAGTGACCTCATCGGGGATGAGGAGCGGAGGGAAGATATTTTTGAATGGCTTGGTTCAGGTGAATGATAAGAAGACTCCGGTTGCCCTAATTCGAAGGAAAGAAACCGGGAGAGTCTTTCTTTACGACATGGGCACCAAAGCTGTCCAATCCCTACCATATCAAGGACGGCCGGTTAGGACCGAGTGGGGAGATATCGTCCATGGCCCTGAATTTCTAGCTCATTATCCTTATTTACAGCCTTCATCTCTTTCCACATTTGCTCTTTAGGTCATGGATCTCCTAATTGATAAAATAGTTTAGCACTTCATATATTTTTGTATTTGTAGTTCTTATTTAAGGTTTACTTGTCATGTAATTGTGTGTGGAATTCAAAGTTGAAAACTAATTGCTTCAATAAAGATTTACTTTCATTATACTATACACACAGTTATACATAATTAAAACACACACATAGAATGTTTTAAAGAAAAACAGTTTTTGTATTCAACTAGTTGAACATCTCATTACAATGTAATTTGACTTCATTGATCAATTCATAAATCATAATTAAGGATTGAGAAAGTAAATGGAGTTAGAGAAACAGCTATAAATTTGAGTTATTTATATACTACGGAGTACATATCACTTATGGAGTATTTTATAGAGAATAGAAAGCTGCTAGGCCGTGAGTTTCTTATGAAACTGATTGGTTAAACGTTGTTCTGTTTTTCTCCATAAATGTTACTTGTACACGCTCAGTTACACGTCGGCCCAGCCACGGATCTATTAAAAGTGGTGTCGGGGTAGCTGCCCGCCTGCCCCCAATAAAATCCTACTAATCCATACTCGTATAATTTATTACACATTACTAAATATTGAAAGTCTCTCAAAGATGCCTAGGTGCAAAGCACCCATCAAAGGCCTCGCATACCAATAGTCGTGAGAAAAAGGTGTTTGGCATGGAACAGTTGAAGCATCCTCCATTTGTGGTTTCAACCATCGGGAGGCGATTCATATATGCTTGACGAGGGAAGCGAGATGATTTATAGAGTATTGGTGAAGAGCAACCAATCATACTCTCCCTCCGGACTCTGGTGTGGGAAAACTGATGCAAACGAATTATTGCAACACGGAAGCTAATAAATTTCAAAAAATATGTTTTTGCGATGTTTATACTCACTTTTGTATCCATCATGTTTGTGCAAAGTTTATTTTTGTCTTTGAATCCCGTTCATAGACAAAATATGTTTGTGCAAATTATTTTGTCTATGAATCGAATTCACAAACAAAAAAATACCCTTCACAAACATGATAAGTTTAAGGTGGATAAGAGTGTGTACAACAAGAATGATTGAATAATTTTTTTTGTCAAGACTCAAGAGCAAAGCTACCTCCCACCGGTGTGGGAATTGTGCTCATACGGAGAGTAGCATTCAAATTTTTCTAAACATCTACTTGTACTATTCATATCTTAATATTAATATTAAGTATATCATTGTTGTTATTATTATATTATTAATATTACTGTAGAGTGTAGAGTTAATTCTCTATATAGGTAAAAAAAAGTGACCTAAGAGCACAAATAGGACTACATGTTTTTTATTTCCCTTAGGATTATTTATGTGTATTTGGACAAATATATCCTTGAGGCTTTTGAAATGTCTTAATTAATAATAAATTCATAAAAACGATAAAAAACTTTAAAAAATTATTAAAAAATTTATGAAATGTTTATAACAAAATTAATATTTTAAATAAATAAAAAATTAAAAAATCTGCCCAAATATGTAGTAGTGCCAAAATAATTGCAGATTAAATGATAATTTTGGCATTATGATGAGTAATAATGCCATTTTCTTTACATTTTCAGAAAAAATGGCATTTTTACAAATAATGGCAGAATTTTCACCAATCAGAGTTATCCATTTATTTTATATGGGTTTTTACAAATTTTCATTAATTTTTTCACAAAAAAAAATATGCCAACAATTCTAGTAATGCCATAATAATGTCAGATTCAACAAGAATTTGGCATTATGAAGAGTAATTATGCCATTTTCTTGGCATTTTCGGGAAAAAATGGAATTTTTTAATAAAAAGTGCAGAATGTTTACCGATTGAAGGTCGTGGTGCTGGGAGGCGGTGGGACAGGTATCCATATTTTTTTAAATTTGTTTATGGATTTTTACTATTTTTTATTAATTTTATTTAAAAAAATCATTTTTTTTAAATTCTTTTGTTTCAAATATTTGTTTTTATAATTTTTTTTTATGATTTTTTACTATTTTTTAAGATTTCATTATTAATTATAACATGTTATTATTAAATAATACCCTTAAGGGCATTTCTGGTAGGAATGAATTGTTTAATCCTTTTTTGGATGGTAAAAAATATTGTTGTCCTATTTGTGCATTTTTAGTTATTTTTAGTCTTAAATAGAGCAAATTCTAATTACTGTACTCCGTAGTTTTAGTCTTAAATAGAGCAACTATACTTTGGTTTAATGATTAAGTCAGTTTTTTGCTGAATGATGAAGCCATGCTTCCAATTAAGTCATAAGTAAACATGACTTAATGGCTGAATGATTAAGTCATCATTTCGATATGTCCATTAAATTGAAAGTAAACAATCCCTTAAGTAGTAATAAGCAAGAGAGAGATTAAGAGATAAATCCGACATTTCACGACAACTTTCAAAAAGAAATTAAATAACAATTCATTAATTACGGAGTATATTTTAAGTCACTTTTATGAAAAATGAGAGATAGTCATATTTTTTGAATTAGAAACACTATAAATAAGTTTTGTGGGAAGGATAAAGTAATTATTGAAGTAACTAATATAATCGATCACGAAAATATAAAAGTCACTTTTTTCAACTACTTTTACTTTACACTGTAAAAAATGTTTGAAATTCCAAAATAAGATTGTTATGTTTTTCTTATCAAAATAAGATTAAACACTATAAGCAATATAGGTTCCATTTTTTCGAGTATATTTATGGAAAATATATATAGTAAATAAAAAATGAGAAAAACAAAGGTTTATCCTTAAATATTGCTACAAAATCACATGCACAAAAATACAATTGAAATGACAATGTGTATATTGTCATGATCACTACAGCGAATAAATGAATACAATCATTTTATCTTTATCCCATAAAAGTTGGCAAAATTGATTTTTCTAGATTAATGATAATAAACTTTGGACAATAATTTTAGTTATTATATCAGTATGAAATTATAAAGTTTGTACTTTTATGAAATTACTTTTATCAAAGTTTATTTTCATATAATTGTCATATGTTAAATAGTTTCGTATCAAAAGATATCACTGATCAAACTTGATTCCCATTAACCAAGAAAAAACAATATATATGATCAAATTATATAGGACGAATGAAGTAATTATTGAACTTACTATTATAATCACGAGAATATAAAGTCAGTTTTTTTCAACTACTTTTAATTTACTTTATTCATATATATTCCATTAATTTAACGTTATGCCATTATTATTATTAGTGAAAGTTCCTGATCGAAACAAGAGTAAATGGAATTTCGAATTGACTGCTATATTATTATGCCATTAATTCTAAAATATGATTGCTATATTTTTTTTACTGAAATAAGAACGAGTAACATGAGAGTATTGAGTGTCATCTTGCAGGCATTACGGTCTAATAATTGCAATATTAGGTATTCAACATGATAACATTTAATATCACTAATGACATTATTTTTCAATCATGTCAGTATTTTTCAATCATAGCAGTAAGAACTCTTATTACGCTAAGAAAATATAGAAATCATATTTTGGAATTCCAAATTTGATGACTCGTGGTTAAGCAATTTCCCTTATATTTTTTTTGGAAAGAAGCAATTTCCCTTACTATTACGCCGTATATGTGTTATTAACTTTGAACTGCAAATATACAATCTCTTTCCTCCTAGAATATGGAGTCAGGTTATCCATATTTGCCTATATGGAAACATCTTCATACGACTGCCCTTATATATACACGGGCTAGCTGTACATATACGTATTTTAGTCCGTTTGCGGAAATTCCCTGTTTATTGTAAGTCATGAATGATCAAATAATTGCGGAAATTCTAGTCCGTTTGCCGCCAAAATCGGTTTACAGATTCCGGGCCGTATCAAAATCATGGAACGAGTTGATTTCGCATCCCTATTTCATCAAGAAATACGACAGCCTGCAACGGCGGCCGGACGGCGTTGGTTTGTTATCCTTATTCCGAGTATATTGCCCCTGCATATTCTCCAATTCAAAGAAGCCCAAGAAATCCGTTGAATACCATTCTCTAGATTTTGAAGTACGCGGCATGTTTCGAGAACCAGTCAAGTTCATAAATAGCTCTAACGGTTTGATTCTTTGCAGCAAGGGTTGTTCGGATAAGCAGGAATACCTCGTCCTGAACCCTGTTACAAAAAGGTCGGTCTCCTTGCCGCCGCCGCCGTCCAGTCGTACAGGCAGATCCATCGGGTTAATGTGCGAAGAGAACAAAAACCAACTGTCAGCCAAGTACATCATCGTCCAGATTCATTGTCAAGTCATCTGTGAAAGGGAAAAGGGTACTATACAGATCGCGACTTACTCTTCCGAGACAGGGGCTTGGATAGCAGCCAAACGGCCGGTGATCGCCTCCACCGCCGCCATAAAAGAAGATGTCTACTCTTGTTTGTTAAGAGATCCTCCTTTAGTGATGAATGGTGTTTTCCACTGGTACCACTACTCCGGAAACACGGGCATACTAACACTGGCGCTTTACCGCCCCGACAGTGAAGCGGTCTTCGATATCCGGAGCTATGATGGATTTGGAAATAATTCCCTATGCTCGAGTGCTATTACAAGATCATCCATTGAGAATGGTGACGTTTTATGGTTCACGGTCGTTGATGATTTCAAAACAATGAGAGTTTTCAGCTTCCCGAAGGGGAGTCGAGGGTGGGTGTTAGTGTACAGTATCAGTGTTGAATCCCTCTGGGGGAATGACACAGCCTTAGTGACCTCATCGAGGATGAGGAGCGGAGGGCATATAATTCTGAATGGCTTGGTTCCGGTGAATAATAAGAAGACTCCGGCTGCCCTGATCCGGAGGGAAGAATCGGGGAGGTTATTTCTTTACGATGTGGACACCAAAGCCGTTCAATCCCTGCCATATCATGGACGACCGGTTACCACCGAGTGGGATGGATTCAACATTCTGAGCATTGGCCCTGAGTGTACAGCTCATTATCCCTATATACATCCTTCATCTCTTTCTGCCTTCGCTCTTTAGTTGATCCACCTCCTAATTGATAAATTAGTTTAGCATGCACTTCATATACTTTTATACTTGTAGTTCTTATTTATTAAGGTTTATTTCTCATGTAATCGTGTGCCTGAAATTCAAAATTAAAAACCATCAATAAAACATTAATTTCAATTTTTTTTTGAGACATTAACCGTTGCTCATATTTAAAAAAATATCAATACAAATGTTTTTATAGAACAAATAGAACAGCAAAGTATCTCCATGCGCAGGAAGATATCATAGCATCATAAGTTCATAACTAATTGCTCTTTTGATGAAGAAGCAGCTTTGTGCTTAATCTTTGCCGAAGTACGTCTGCATTCTCCCCAATGAACTTATATCAATAATAGCACTAGAAACAACCTTCAAAAAGTTGGCGTCTATATTGCTAGCAATAGCTCTAGCTAGCAATGTCTTCCCAGTGCCAGGAGGCCCATACAGAAGTACACCCTTCTGAGGCTTGATTCCAACTCTAAGGAACAGCTCAAAATTCGTAAGAGGTAACTCAATAGATTCCCTAAGTTCCAGAATTTGATCAGACAAACCACCTACACCAGAGTAGCTAACATTCCCAGGATCCTCATGGAGCATGTTATAAATAACAGGGTCAACCTAGTTATGGCCTGTTTGGACAGAGTGTTGGTAATGGAAGGGTTACGAAGTGTTGACATAGGTTCGGAAGGGAAAATAAGTGCAAGTGTAGAATATAAACTTACCTTGTTGGGAGAGTCAAAAAATGAAACGTTAGTAACGGAAGTGTTTTCAGTTAAATTGACAATATATCCTCGTCTAAATCCTAAACCTAATATAAATTCAAAGCATAGGTTGCAATATACTGCGCATCAGACATTTTTGAGCCATCGTTCCTTCAAGTTAATGGCATTGCCTTTGAATAATGCTCTGGAAATACTTCTACTTCTCAATATGGATCATTATTATTCATAGTGATAAGCAATTAATTATTACGTGAAGCAGATGAGATGAAGAGTGAACCACTTCGTAGCTGTACTCTTTGAATCACTTTTTTCCTTTTCTTTTGGCTTTACTCTATTTTCCGGTAGAGAAGGAGGGACAAATGGGCGTGCCTTTAAATGCTCTGGAAATACCTCTGCTTCTCAAGCTGCTCCCTATGCCTGAAAAAGATGACGGCATGGGCGGTAGCTAATAGAGACACAGATGAGAGCTGTTGACGTGCACTTTGTCGTCTGCACTCAAAATAATTATCAATACAACAATTATACGTAGTATATTGAAGTAAGGTTCGTATTCACAGGGAAACAAATAAAGGGGATTTTAAGTTTGATTTGATTAAATTTAATTAACACTAAGATGAACACTTCGTCGATCCCGATTATATCTTTAACTATCTTCCTCTCGAATACTCAATCGAGGAGTATATCCAATTCATCGAGGGTAGTTATTAATAACGAGACGCGTTCATTAATAAAACTAACTACCGAGTTAATATAGAACACGCGCCTTATATTAACCCGATGGTAGCAATAAAATCAAGACGAAAACGATTGAGATTGATAACCTCAACACAAGCAGTTTATTGATTTAATCAATATAATTAATTCCCTTTGGTTTATTAACCATGAGACGCATGCATTAATAACCCAAAGTTTATTACCGTGAAAGGACCAAATTAATAACAAACGTATTAATCAATCAATTCTAGTAATAATTAATATATGAAACAAAACTAGTTGATCTTTTAAGGAATGCTCAAAATATTAATATGAAATAGGAATAGGAATTAATTAATATTCAAGGAAGAAGATTAAAGAAAAATAGATAGTAAATCACAACTTACAATTCATTAAGCTTCAAAGTAGCAAAACCAAGATAGAAGAGTTTAGTTCCTCATTTGGAGACTAAACATGAAGAAAATATAAAAAAATAACTTGTCTAAATTGAGCTTAGAAAATTATAGGCTTTTGAGAGTTGCAGTGTCTGATACCTGACCGGGATATAGGATACCCGACCAGGTATCTTAGGAAATTGCCCAGAAAGTCACTTTTCTGGGCATACCCGATCGGGTAAGGGTATATACCCGATCGGGTATTTGACAAAATCTTCACGAAAATCTGCTCCCACGATCATTTGTTCTCGGATTTGATTTGGACAATCGAATCAAGCAAATACCCGATCGGGTATAGGCAATACTCAACCGGGTACATGAGTATTTTTCCAAATCGAAATTATTCCTTCCTCCTTGCACTTTCCTTGATCTTTTAAGGTCCAATCTTGCTCCCTTGGATGATCTTGGGCCTGTTTACCTCAGAAAAGTCCTAATCTAAACAATTTACAAATAATTATGAAAATAAAGTATTACACCAAAAGTGTGTAATTTGCACAATGACGTGCACTTGTCGTGAGATGCACTCAAAATAAATATCAATACAACACTTATACGTAGTATAACGAAGTAAGGTTCGTATCCACAGGGAAAGGAATATTTTTCTCTTTATAAACTAGTAACAAGGAGGGGTTTAGATTGAGTAAATGAACTTAAATTATAGTTAAACACGAAGATGAACGAGTTATGTGGTTTAATTAATAAGAAGAAGACTTGGCTTTGCTTTTATCCACTTAATGAAATGTTCGTCGATCCCGGTTATATCTTTAACTATCTTCCTCTCGAATACTCAATCGAGGAGTATATCCAGTTCATCGAGGGTAGTTATTAATAACGAGAAGCGTTCATTAATAAAACTTACTATTGAGTCAATATAGAACAAGCGCCGTATATTAACTTGATAGTAGCAATAAACTTAAGATGAAAACGATTGAGATTGATAACCTCAACACAAGCGGTTTATTGGTTTAATCAATATAATTAATTCCCCTTAGATTATTAACCATGAGATGCATGCATTAATAATCCAAGTTTACTACCATGAAAGGACCGAATTAATAACAAGCGTATTAATCGACCGATTCTAGTATTAATTAATATATGAAACAAAACTAGTTGATCCTTTAATGTTCAAAATATTAATATGAAATCTGAATAGGAATTAATTAATACTCAAGAAAGAATATTAAAGAAGATGAATCTTACTATAGTTAATATCAAGATGTTAACTAATTGTCATCTTAGTAACACTCCCCGATATTAACGTAGAGGAAGAAATAACTATTATTATAACTAATGTCAAGATGTTAACTAATTGTCATCTTAGTAACACTCCCCAACATTGATATAGAAATAGTATTTAAAGGAAGAATTAATATTCAAGGAAGAAGATTAAGGATAATAACTCACAACTTACAAATTCATTAAGCTTCAAAGTAGCAAAACCAAGATGGAAGAGTTTAGCTCCTCATTTGGAGACTAAACATGATAGAAAATATAAAGAAAACACTAATCTAAACTGAGCTAAGAAGTATATGTGAATTGGTGATTTTATTGTGAAGGAAAGAGGGTGTATTTATAGGCTTTTTGGGAGTGCAGCTCGGGTACTCGATCGAGTATATAAAGATACTCGGTCGAGTATGTGTAGAAATGCAAATTCGAGGTATACTCGATCGATTTCAGGTTTAAAATTAAAGGCATACTCGATCGAGTATGTATATATACTCGATCGAGTATGAGTAGAAACTTGAATTCGACCCATACTCGACCGAATTCAGAGTATAATTTATAGTCATACCCGATCGAGTATGTCGGTGTACTCGATCGAGTATCGACACTCGATCGTGGTCAAAATCTTCCCTGCATGTTCCTTTGTTTTCAGATCCGATCCGATTTGAAATCTCAACAAGATACTCGATCGAGTATATGCTATACTCGATCGAGTATAGGTCAAAAATCAGGATTTTGCCTTCTTTTTGTCTTGTACTCTTGCACCTTCCTTCACCAATGATCATTGGATTGATCTTGGACCTGTTTAAACTCAGAATGGACCTAATCTAAACATATTACAACTATTTTACAAACATAACTATTACACCAAAAGTGTGTAATTTCCGAAATATTAAACAATTAAAACTAGCTAAAAACATAAACATACACACGGAAATTACAAGTGTATCAACTCCCCCACACTTAGTCCTTTACTCGACCTCGAGTAAACTAGAAACATCCAAACAGTTTGAGAGTTTTTCAAGAGTTCAAGAAAGGAAGAAACTAAGATCACCAAGGAAAAAAATGAGTTTCAATTCCAAAAACAAAATTCTTTCTTGGGTTTTGTGATCTTCTATGCTCCATCTTCTTGCTTTTTTTTTTCTTTTTCTTCTTCTCCTCTTTTCATTGTTTAAAGAGATTAAATGATGTTCTGCAAAAACAAATTTTCTCTCATATCTCTCATTTTGCCTAGGAGCCTTCTCTGGTTTTCATCCTAGCATCTCTTTTTTTTTTTTTCATCCTTTCCACTCACTCTTTTTTTTTTTTGAAGCCCTTTTTGCTTAGATTGCCCGTTTTTGGGTTTTCAACCTAACTAACATTTCTTTTTCTATTTTTTTTTGTGTGAAGAAAATAATGCAAGTTACAAGGTAGAAAATTAAGTATGTTCCAATGAGTGACTCCCCCTCACTTAGCTCGAAGCACTGTCCCTAGTGCTTGTCTTCGTTATACCCGGGTTGAAACGGACATCCTCGTTGTCCCTTTGCATTTATACTTTCGGCCCTCACCTTCTTATGTGTCATTGAATGTTGTTTTTGGGTCTTGGGTTTCGAACTTGAGGGTAGGGAGTAGGGTTTCAATTTTTTTTTTTGAATGGAAAAAAAAAATATGAGGATTTTTGGGTATTGGATTGTAGAGAAAAGTGAGGAGAGTGTATTGGTTGTTGTATGAGTGATTTGGTGGAGAAGTGAAGGAGATATGGTAGAGAGAAGGTAGAAAAATGGAGTTTGGGGGAAAGGGGTTTAAAGTTTGGGATGATTTTTGGAGAAGATGAAGTGGGTTGGGGTGTTTTATGGGTATAAACCGCAGGGGTACCCGATCGGTTATCACCCTATACTCGATCGGGTGCTGGAGACAGGGGGGTGCAAAAATGGCTTTTCCAGTGATACTCGACCGAGTATGGGTAGATACTCGATAGGGTATAGGAGGCAGGCTCCCTTTGATTTCGTCTTTCTGTACATACTCGACCGAGTATTGAAATTGGTTCCTCTTTTTTTTTT